GTGCTGGGAGCAGGATTTGGTTTGGGGATTGGAGAGCAGGAAGGGGTGCGGGCTAGGAGAGGGAGTTTGGGTACAGAAGTGGTGAGGAGTCAGTCTCAGAGCGGGTGTGGGAGAGGATTTGGAGTGCAGACTCTGGGAAGAGAGTTTGAGGGCAAAGGATGCGAGCTTACCTGGAACAGCTCCAGTAAGTAACCGCATCTTTTCTCTTGCTCCTAGGCTGGGGGCTTTCCATGCATAACTGCCCGCAGGCACCAGCCCTTCAAGCTCCCTTTGGCTGCAGAGGTGCTTGGGATGTGAGCAGTGCACAGACATACACCCTGCTAAGGGACTGCAGGGATGTGACAGCAGCCACGCAAAACGGGCATGCAGGAAGTTGCTTCAGCCCTGCTGGTGGTGGTAGCAGCGGCAAGGCTTCCCTAGTCCTTTTTAAATTACCCAGGGAAGGCAGATGGGCGTGGGGGAGGGACCTGACCTCGAACTTTAGTGGAACCAGGACCTTAGGCCAGAAATATTTCTGGAGCCTGAGCACCATGGACTCATATAACTTCCTGCCCCGTACCAGGATTAACATCACAGTCTTACATAGGTTCACCAGTTGTGACTAGTGACCAGGACCTAAACTTTTCAGAGAAGATATCACATCAACAGGCATGGTTCTTCCTCTACCACTGTGCTTTATATTAGTTCAGTTCTGCCTCAGAGGAGAGTGTGGTGCTTATTCAATCAAGACACTTTGTGTATTACCCTAGATGTTTTGGATTTTGCCCATCCAAATATCAACCCAACCAAACTGCTTAGATTAAGAGGCCTGAGAATCCTAGCTTCTTTGAGGGATGCAGGTGGAAAGGAAATGATCTTGTTTGGCTATACGCCTTGATTTGAATATTAAACATTCACAATATGGTTATCAACTAAAATGAAAGTTGATATCTACTAAACTATGTTATGCCATTTTTAGTCACCAATATTTTTACGTATGGATAATGAAGAACATTAAAATTGCTTTATTTGTACTTGGGTATTCAAATTATTAAAGTATACTAGGTATCAAGCACTTCAGGAAAAATGTAATAAGCTAAAAGCCAGTAAGTATTGAGGATAATCTGTGAAGTATCTGTATGCAAGAAATGTGTTTTCTTCTCTTCCTTATTTCCAGGCTGTTCCAGTTTGTGTCCCTCTGAATCTTGAAAAGAATGATAAATTGCTTTACTTGGCAGAACAATTTATAGGGATCCCCGTGTTGTACTTAAGGTTTAGATTGCCAGAAGTCACCAGGTGAGCGTTTTCTATTGATAACACTATGGATAGAAGTTCTGGGGATTTGTTTCCATAAATTCTCAAAAAGTGGCAGAAGGAGTGTGAATGGCACAAAGATTTGCAGCAGCATCTCACTGGATAAGATGCTGTATCCTTGTATCATTTCAGGGAGGACAAATGAGTTGCAATGTATACTTAAACATCCAAATGCCTACATGTAACAGCTCTCAGTGGAGGCTGGTGTTATTTTGAAACTGGACGGATAGGAGTGAGGTCCTTAGAGAGTCAGTTTATAGCATCATTTTAGTGATCTTACTATATCCTTGAGCCACACCTTCAGGATGGGCAGCTTGCAGCTGCATGTTGTGGCACATCCGGAGCATAGCAAGTTCATTCCAAACACTAAGCTGCATCTTAAGCACCCTTTTCCATCAGATGGAGGCAATGGCAGGTAACTGATGCAGCTACATAGTGGAGCAGGCAGCACAATGGTACGGTCTGCAGGAGACACAGTGCACCAGCATCTGAACTAGAGCTCAGCAGTGATTGAGAAAACAGATTCCTCCTGCAGCTACAGCCAGCTGGTTGCTACAGTTAAAGACAGAGATATTTTGGCTGAAAGGGAAGCAAAAGTCAGAGGAAGAGAATCAAACATCCTGGGACGGAATAGGAAAATGTGGGAAATGGAGCAAGGGGGAGAACAGAGAAAATGAATTGGCTGGAAGTCCCAACAATTTTTGGAGTAAGTGAGATTCCTGAGGAGGGAAAGAAGAATGGTATCTCTCAGTGACAGAAGCTTGCTGCCCTCTGAAGGGTAGAGAAAAGACAGGGAGGATGGTGGCAGATGGGGATAACTGCAATATCTTTTTGCAAGGGTCAGTCTTGGAAACTGACTCAAAACCTGCTCTAAAGAATCCCCACTGGTGATATGTTTGCAGGGACATTTTGATCCAAACAGTGCCCATAGTATTTCACGGTAGCCAAGTTTCATATAGGGTCTTCTCCCCCCCACCCCGCAGCCCCCCAAAAAGTGTCATTTCTTTTTCAGCACCTAGAGAAGGTGCTGGGTCTTGCAGGGGTGAAGCGACTTCAGGTGCTCCCCTGCCCCCAGGCCCTGATTGGCCTGGGGATGGGGGCTTGGCAGGGCAGCTGCAGGCCAGATCCACTGGCTTAGCAGGCTGGATCCAGCCCATGGAGACCCCTTTGCCCATCCCTGGTCTATAGGCTGTACCATAATAGTATCACCACCACTATTTATTATTTGAATTACCGTAGTGCCTAGAAGCCATAGTTACAAACCAAGATCCCATTTTGCTAGGCACTGTGCAGAACTCAGAACAGAAGGTGCTAAAATCTATGCATGATCATCCAAATGTCACCAATGTAGAGATCTAGTTGTCTGAACAGAATCAAACAGTGGATCTTTCAAAGTCAGCAATGAGGAAACATTTATAGATTATATTTATGATACATTTTATGGCATGCCTCAACATAGTACTGGAACAACTCTACTTTTTCTCACAACACATTTGTAAACTAAGGGGACTGTCATCCTTGTTTTATAGATGGGGATCTGAGACCGCCATTAGCCTTGGGTCCTATAGGAAGTCTGTCATACAGGTGGAAATTGAAGCCAGAACTCAAAAGTCCAATCGAATACCTTAAGCATAAGACAGTCATTTCCGTAGGTTCAGATGAACAACTTTCTATAACTACTAGATTTTGCCTGTGATTACTCATCAGCAGCCATTGGACCTGCTTGGATACAGAGTTGTCATTTGGAGGTTAATATTTTCCTGGATAGCTAAATTATTATTGTATCGCACTGAGCTCTTCATTGTCTTGTATATTCTCTTCCCATGATTGTGATCCCTCTCCAATGACTCAAGATTTTCAGCAGAATTTGATTTCCGGACATATGATGCAGAAGGTGTTATGCTATATGCCGAATCCCCTGACAGCACAGCATGGTTCTTGCTTGCACTTCGCAATGGAAAAATTGAAATACAATTCAAGAATGAACTTGGAACAAAAATCACCAGTGGTGGCAAAGTGATTAATGATGGTCTGTGGCATATAGTAAGTTTTTTCTAATGCTTTGTGACTTGAAAGCACTCTCAGGTGAAGCTGGGAAAAGTTTTAATAGCGACTTTGTAAAGAAAGATTTTTAAATGATTCCATAAAGATCCCAGATTTAAAGGCTGTTAAAGATACAGTGGTGTTGCTAGCAAACTTCTGAATGGTCTTTTGATACAAAAAAAACCACTTTCTGGTTGGTACCTGTGCAGTAATATTAGTGCATGCATGTGTGTGTAAACATATTTACTCTGATACAAGTGGCCCACAAGGTTGTTATTTCAAAACACAATTGTTATTTTATGCTGTCCAATGCTGCTTACTCAAATGAAAGCTTCCTGCTTCCTAAAGAAAAGCTTACTTTAAAAATGCCCAATTCCTGAGCATAAAGTGCTACTCCAACTCAAATCAGTAGGAGCCTTAACTTGAACTTTACTGGGAACAAGGTATCTTCAATATACCTACTGCGTAAAGAAAAAGAAAACTATTGAGATTGCAAGGTCAGCCGCTTAAAATTTAGGAAATGCCAGAAATAAGGTTACCCAGACAACCTTAATTCTGGGCATTTTCTAATTTGTACGAGTGCCTTCACAGCCTTCTTTTAGTGTACTTTTATAGATAACATGCTACATATTTTTTAGAAATAAAATTACTTGGTTTTGATTTTTTTTTTCTGTGCAATGGCCCCAATGCATCAGCAACACATTTGAACAGTGTATATTCAGCACTATCTCTGTCACTAAAGTGCTAAAATGTGCTAGTCAGAGGAACATGCAGTTATGCTCTGGAACCATGAAGGAAGAGGCACAACACATTGAGACAGAGGGTTATAGATTCAATGTATCAACAGCACAGCTCAGTGTACAGATTTGGAAGGTTTGAGAAAAAATGTAGGGTTAGGGTATGTCTACACAATAGCTACCTGAGAACATACCCAGGGTACTTTCAGTGTACAAAATGTATGCTTTAGTCCAATCTGAATTTGTGTAGCTTTTCTTTGCTAGTTAGAAGAGCCCATTATTAAATATTTTTTCCCTATGTAGGTATTTACAGACTATAATCAGGTCATCCCTTAACATTCTCTTTGTTACACTCAAAAGATTGAGCTCTTTGGGTCTGTCATCGTAAGTCATGCTTTTTAATCCTTTAATCATTCTCTTGGCTCTTCTTTGAACCCTCTCCAAATTTTCAACATCCTTCCTGAATTGTGGATACCAGAACTGGACACAGTAATCTAGCAGATGTTGCACCATTGCCAATACAGAATATAATATCTGAGATTTCCCCTATTTATGCAACCAAGGATCACAATAGCCCCACTGGTTGCAATGGAAGTTGAGGTTCAGCTGATTATCTGTCATGCTCCCTAAATCATTATTAGAATCACTACTTCCAAGAGAGAGTCTCCCATCCTGGTCTTCAATATATGTTCCTATCTGTATTTGGCAACATTTACCACCACCCCTAATTTTTTTCCACCTCTGCTAACTTTATCAGTGACGTTTTTATGTTTTCTTCCAGGTCATTTGATTTTAAATAGAATAGGGTAAAGAATAGATGTCTAGAAGACTCCCCTAGAAACAAACTTGTTAATTGATAATACCCTGTTTACAGTTGCATTCTGACATCTCTGTCATTGATAATACCCTGTTTACAGTTGCATTCTGACATCTCTCAGTTAGTCTGCTTTTAGCCCATTTAATTTTATATTTTAGTTTTTTTAATGAAAATGTGTGATACAACAACATCTAATGGAAGTGTAAATATACGATGCAAGACTATATTACAGTTTTTTCTGGAGACAGAACAGAAATAATAATTGAACACACCTACCTTTTCTGTATTGTTCTAACATTTAGAAATTGTCCAATACAATTGTCAGGATTCTTTTTTATACCAATAGACTTAAAAAAAACCTCTTCCTTATTGTTCTGAACCTTGGTGGCCATAGATTTCCTTCTGTATCACTTTGCTTCCCCTATCAATTTTCTACAATTCCTAACTTCTTATTTATATTCAGTACTATAAATTTCTCTTTTCTTCCACTTGTTATTTATTATTTTTTAAATTATTTATAGTTGCCTTGATGCCCTTCTAAGCCAAGTTTTTTGCTTTTTGGGTTGTCTTCTTTCTTGCTTATGGCTTTTGGAACATCTAGTAAAGAACTGTTATACACGTCTCAATTATCATTACTGATTAAGTTCTTCCTCCCAGCTTATTTGTCTTGTTAATGTTTTCAGTTTTGTGAAACTGGCCCTTTTAAAGTACCAAATTTGGCAGAATTATAGTTGGGCAACTAGCCTGAGCTGCCAACAGTTCTGCTACAGCCACACCTAGCATGCTAACTTGAACAGTGCTGAATGTGTGTCTGCCCATGCTGAGAAGTGCCCTGCTAGCTACTGTGCAGATGTATTCTAAATGGATGAGATTTAGTTCTGCCATACTGTTTCCTGGGCTCCAGTTCAGTGCACCTTCCCTTAGGCAAGGGGTGGGCAATAATATTTACAGGGGGGCCACTTAATGAATTTTGGTACGTGGTCATGGACCAGTTCCACCCCTGAAAGGGTCACGGCCTGAAGTGAAAAGGGCAGGCCTGGGGACTAGAATAGAATGGGCAGGGCTCTCCCCAGAGGTGTCTGGGACACTAGAGGCTTTGGATTAAAGACATAGCAAAGGGCGCACAGATCCTGCCCCCACCACTACCCAGTTGCTTGGCAGCTGCCAGGGGCTACTGTAGCTATTTACTGTGCCAGCCCCTGCTGCGGGAACACTGGAACCGTGAGCCACTGAAATAGGATCCTGCTGCTTGAGCCACTGTTTGGAAATTGGGTGGCACAGGCAACAGTATATAAATAGAAAGCAGCTAGATGCAGCCTTCAGGCCAGATCTGGCCCCTGGGCTGCATCTTGCCCAGCCCTGTCTTAGGCCAAAAATTATTTTGAGGGGTAAATACCAACAGCAGCAGATGAATCCATTTTTTTTCCATCTGCGTTCCCCGGCGAGGTTTAGTTCTTTGTGGCAGGCTAAACGAAATCCAGAGGAGCATGCTCGATGTGGATGGAATACAGAGCAATTTCAGAAGCAAGTCCCTAACAAAGTTCTGTTAAGTGTAACACAAACTGAAAAATTGTATTTTTTCCAAAAACTTCAACCAGCTATATGTTTTCCTACAGAAAGCAAGGAACACTTTTGCCTTTCAGGTATTATCTCTCTATCCAGTTTCAAAATGCTGCTGTAAAGCACGAATACATTAGAATTACAAAAAAAAAGAAAAAGGCAGATTTCTGGGTGGTGGGCTTTTGTTTTTTAAACTTAAATAATGGGACACAGTAAGCAACCGTAACACAAGGCTCAAGACGTTTGTAATGAATACGTTCAACATATGTAGCGTTATGTATATTGCTATATATTATTTTTAATCCTAGGTCTCAGTGGAAGAATTAGAACACAGTATCAGTGTAAAAATAGCAAAAGAAGCAGTGATGAATATTAACAGCCCTAGAAACCTGTTCAAACCATCAAATGGCTTTTTGGAAACTAAAGTGTACATTGCAGGACTACCTCGCAAAGTCAACGACACCCTCATTAAACCGGTAACTTAAATATACGTCCTGATGAGGGTGGCTTTCTTGTTTGTTCTTCCTTTTATTGTGGTTATGCATGTGTCATTGGGGAGACAATATACAGGGAGATATGTATGTAAAAAATGAAAATGCCATGGTTGACCTTTTAGTTTGAAAATGAGTATGCCTGAAGCTTTGCAGTCTGTCCATTTTTAGGTTTTAATTATAGAATTACAGCAATTAAAAGAAGTTTTAGGTAATCCAATCCATCTTCCAGGATGCTATACAGGGTTCTGCCTACGAGATCATTTTGTAATCTCATTTTAAGACTCCTAAGCAATAGGACCACTGGTACTTATCTTGGGAGCATATTGTACAACTGTTCCCTCACTTAGTGCCAGATTGTGCCTTGATTTTGTGTGAGTGTAGAGGGGCAGGAGTGAAGGAAGCACAATGAACCTTCATTTCTACCCTGCCCTGCCCTGCCCACCCTGTACAGGGGGCACGATTCACCTGACACACCCTTCTCTGCAGCTCTTAGGTCCTGCAGCCACCTCTCATGCAGACCCAGTAATTATCACAGTAACTGGTAATTTCAGCAGAGGGGCAAGATGTGAATGGGCTATGAAGACTGAGCTTTCACCCTCTAAGAGGAGGGAAGTCTCCCTTGCCACTGCCCATGAGTATCTGCTCTTCATATGTGTAAAGGTTTTTTTTTGCATGTGTACTAGAAAATAATTCACATTTCAGAACAAGCCACCATTCCACTAACAAAGAGCTTGTAATCCATTTTTGCTTGCAGCATTACAGGAAGGCAAAAAGGTAAACATTTTTATATAGTTTTAACTGCTTCTCAAATATTCTCGTATCCAATGTGAAATAATTGTAGACATGTTATTTGAGCTGATGAGTCAAATACTAAATGAACAATACTGGTAACCACTTCCACCTAAGTACAGTCCAGCAGACATGGCCAAGCAGAAGATGAAAGTTTGGCTACAGTGTGTTTGAAGCTATTTTTGCTTGCCAGTGGTACCAACCAAAAGCTTATTGGCTCAGCAGTGCTAACCGAAAGCTGAGTTACTATATATGTCTTTGGTTTTGAAGAGAGACAAGGTGGGTGAAGATGACCAAATACCAATATCTTGTATTAGACCAACTTCTGTTGTGGAGAGAGACAAGTTTTCAAGCTACACAGAGGTCGTCTTCAGGTCTGGGAAAGGTAGGTACTCAGAGTGTCACAGCTAAGTATAAGGTAGAACAGATTGTTTAGCATAAGTCGTTAACACATGCTAAAAGAGTATTCAAGGTGAAGTGGTCCCTTAAGACCAATCCAGTGATGGGATAATAAAGTATGTGGGCAGTTAGTTATCGATTTATGTAATAAGCCATAAATCCAGTGTCTTAATTAAGACTGATTTTTAGAGTCTAGTAAAGTGAAGAATTTAAGCTCTCATCTTTTCAAGGTGTTGGTACAGGTCAGAAATGGACTGTTTTGTGAAAGGTGTTCACCTTTGGGTAATAGTCTTTTTATCATTTTTTCTGTGCAATTTCATTCAAGAGCATAGTGCCGTGGTGTCCAACCACTTCTGAAGCAGTAGCCACTATAGTGACTATAGCGAACTAGCCACACTCAACCAGCCAAATAGCCACACACAACCGGTCAAATAGCTACATGTGGCTAGGATGTTGGACACCATCAGCATAGGGATTGTCTAGTGTCACTCACATGGTTGTTGAGGCTTTTAGAGAAGTAGATCGCATAATGCTGTGGTTCTCAACTGGTGGTCCATGGTGACTTTTTCGGTGGTCCACAGGAACATTGTCCAAAGTCACACGGCATGAGCAGGCGCTACTGTCAGGCTGTTTTATGCTATGTTCACAAGCACACAGCGTGTCATCCATAACGTCACCTAGGACGGAACTGTGTTGTGTTGCCAGTAACTTCCGTCTGAGGCTCTGAGCATCAGTGTAGCTGCCGCCATCGTGCTGAGCAGTTGCTGTGTCGTTCGTCCTGTGCTAAATGTGCTGGAGGTGGTCCATGAAAATTTTTTGATTGGCCTGGTGGTCTGTGGACTGAAATGAGTTGAGAACTACTGGCATAATGGAACATTCCACCCAAACTTCCCTGTGAAAACTTGCTTCGCTGTAGAAAACCCCCGTCTATTCACTCAACCTCAGTTGTCACCTATCACTCCACATTGGAAGCCATATATGGGTATCATTAAAACCAATGGTGTGTCACCTATCACTCCACATTGGAAGCCATGTGGGTATCATTAAAACCAATGGTAGGCCACCAAGACTAGTGAGTGGACTGCAAGAGTGGCTCTCATGATTGGAATCCAGTGGTGGCAACCTGCAGCCCACTGGGAATTCAGCGGCAACTCGTGTACCTCCCCCCCTCCTTTCCCCCATGCCTCTCACACACTGGGGCACTGGAGCGCCACATTTCCTACTCCTGCCCTTCCCAGCACTTCCCATCAGCTGTTAACAGTTCTTCAAGCTCTGGAAGGGAGAGGGAGGAGTAGGAAGTGCAGGACTCCAGTGCCCCAGTGCATGAAAGATGTACAGAGAGACTATGTGCAGGCCTCAGGTGGAACCTCAGTGAATTGTATGCAGCCCACGAGCCACAGGTTGCCTACCACTGTATTAAACAATGTCAGTCACAGGTTGCCTACCACTGTATTAAACAATGACAGTCCTCAATGGAGACCACATCCTGAAAGAAATTTTCCCAAACCCTGATTCTGTCCTTCAAACAACCCCCACAACTTCATATCAGAAGCAAGCTCCCCACAAATAAGGATTCCTTAACATAAAGGATCAGATCTTGTCAGAAAAACAGATGCAAAACCTGTTGACATATTTCCACTGCTACACCAATCCCACCCTCTCCATATACCTTGCAAAATCCATGGGTCCTATTAATGCCTATCACAATGTGCATTAAATACCTCCAATGATGAAAGCAAGAATACCATATTACCCACAGGGTGAACACTTACCACAGAATGATCATTCCATATCTGACCTCTCAGTCCTCATCTTCAAAGGAAAGTCACAAAACGCTTTCAAAACACAAACCTGAGAACTTAAATTCATACTGTTTATAGACACTACAAATCATAGTCTTACTAAGGCTCCAGATTGATTGAAATCTATAACCCTCTAGCCTCTGCCCTCCTTTATTTGTCCCATGATTGGAGAAGTGTTAACGGGACCACTCCACTTTAAATGGTCTTTTAGTGCTAAATAGTCTGTTCCATCTTTTATTTAGCTGCAAGACTCTTGAGCATAAATCTTTACTAAAGATGTTAAATGGCTCTTATCTGGCTAATTGTGTAGCCGATAAAATTGTATCGGCTACATGATTAGTCGATAAGAGGACCCTCTGCAGAGCTGCAGCAGGAGCCGGCTGGAACCAGGACTGAGCAGTCCCGGGTTTTGCCGCCTCTGCACTGCGGTGGCTCTTACTACATTTAATCCTGCAGAGCCATAACATCCTGGACTGGGGTGAGCTGGTAGAGATGTAGCCGTGTTAGTCTAGTCTAGCTGAAACAAAAAACAGGACTATGTAGCATTTTAAAGACTAACAAGATGGTTTATTAGGTGATGAGCTTTCATGGGCCAGACCCACTTCCTCAGATCAAACTGGGCTGGGTCCAGCAGCCCTTGTTCACAGCAGCTTGGGCTGGCTGCAGGCAGAGGCTGCTTTGGCAGGGGAGTATGAAGAGGGGGCAGGGGGCAGTGGAGAGGGAACAGGGCACAGGGAGGGCAGGGA